ATATATATATATATATAAAATTCTTGAAAGTTCCAGTAATTTCCCATAAAGTATACTATATATATATATATATATATGCTGTCCAACTGATTTACTCCTGTCTCATGGTCATTTATATATATATATATATAAAATGGAATGGCAGATGGATTTGCTTTTTCTGTTTCTTTTATATATATATATATATAGAGCATACCCACACAGTTAAATCTGCATAAATTAAATGCTATATATATATATATATAGATTTATTAGTACAGACGGCCCTCTGTATCGGTGGGTTATATATATATATATATATACAACTACAAATCAAAGATATTTGAAAAAAATACCTGTGCTATATATATATATATATAGTTGTTGTTGTTGTTGTCATTATTCCCTAAACAATGCAGTATATATATATATATATAAGCATTTACATTTTATTGGGTATTATAAGTAATCTAGAGTATATATATATATATATAGATGTGCATCAGTTATATGCAAATACTATGCCATTTTATTATATATATATATATATATGAGAATTTTGGTATCCATGAGGGTCCTAGAGCCAATCCTATATATATATATATATACGACTGTATCTAATGTGAGCCCTACCCTTTGCTACTTTCTATATATATATATATATAAGTTTTTAAAATGCTGACCCTGAGATTCATTTATATTGAAACCACAGAATTTTAGAGTTGGAAAGGATCTTGAAGGAGTTGATCAATGCATGGGGTTATATATATATATATATACAGATGTGACTGTGGTACTTACAAGCTGAACGAGCCACTTAACCCCTCGGCCTTTCATATGCTCACAGGTAAAATGACGGGAAGGCCCATGCTGCCTGCCTTCCAAAGCTGTGCAGGAAATTCCACAAGATAGTAATTATGACAATAAAGATGTCGAAAAACCAACTTTCAACAAGTTGAGTCGAAAAGATCTAAATGGCTTTTATTAATTATATATATATATATATACATCCCATCCGTAAAATAGAAGGAATTCCAATGAGCAGATATATATATATATATATAATAGGCAGAAAAATGGTGAAGAAGCAAAAATGGAGAATGTATATATATATATATATAGTTTGTTACTTATTTTTATTTCTATTTATTTATTTATTTTATATATATATATATATATCACTCTGTCACCCAGGCTGGAATGCAGTGGTGTGATCACAGCTCACTGCAGCCTCATCCTCCTGGGATCAAGCGATCCTCCCACCTCAGTCTCATAAGTAGCTGGGACCACCGGCATGCATTACTGCACTCAGCTAATTTTTTAGTTTTTTGTAGAGACAGGGTCTCCTTATGTTGCCCAGGCTGGTCTGGAACTCCTGGGCTCAATCTTATATATATATATATATAAAGTGCTGGGATTACAGGTGTGAGTCACCACACCCAGCATATATATATATATATATATACTTTCCTTACAGGGTTAGAATAGAGGGGACTTCATTATATATATATATATATATAACTGGGCCCCTTCTGATTGGCCACTGTGAATGTCTTATTTATATATATATATATATATTTTAAAGTTCAGTTTGATTACATGGCACCTAGAACTAGTATATATATATATATATAGTTTGCTCTGTTGGGCCTAGTCCAGGAGCTCAGTCAAAATATATATATATATATATATTTTATTTAAGAAGATAATAACAATTGTTAATGCTTACTTATATATATATATATATACTCTCACAGTAGTCTTGAGCGATGTAGTTTCCATAATTAACCCCAATTTGTACATGGAGAACCTGAGACACCAAGATGTATGTCAATGCACTTTGAAAACTCAAGCCCGAATTAGCTGGGCGTGGTGGCAGGCACCTGTCATCCCAGCTACTTGGGAGGCTGAGGCAGGAGAATCGCTTGAACTCGGGAGGCAGAGGTCGCATTGACCCGAGATCATGCCACTACACTCCAGACTGGGCGACAGAGCAAGATTCCATCTCAAAAAAATATATATATATATATATAAAAGAAAAACAAAACTCAAGCCTGGTGGCCAGGCACAGTGGCTCACGCCTATAATCCCAACACTTTGGGAGGCTGAGGTTGGTGGATCACCTAAGATCAGGAGTTCGAGACCAGCTTGATCCATCTCTACTAAAAATACAAAAATTAGCTGGGCCTGGTGGCATGTGCCTATAGTCTCAGCTACTCAGGAGGCTGAGACAGGAAAATTGCTTGAACCTGGAAGGCAGAGGTTGCAGTGAGCCAAGATCCCACCACTGCACTCCAGCCTATATATATATATATATATCTGTCATAAAAAAAAAAGAGAGAGAGAGAACTCAAGCCTATATATATATATATATATGATTGGGATGAGGCTGTTGAGGGATAGAAATACAAATGTATATATATATATATATAATCCCCGAACTGGGGTTAATTTTCTCATCTGTGAAATGATATATATATATATATATAAAGTACATTCAAAACTCCAAGAGTCTAAATAGAAAAGTTTATATATATATATATATAATACACTATAAATAAGTAATTTCATGAACAAATTCCAATTATATATATATATATATACTCTACAGCAACTCTATTAAGTTCACATGTTGAAGCCTGTATATATATATATATATAGCCAAGTTGCCCCTTTCTTTTATGTTTATTTGAAGCGTGAATGCTTCAAAGTGTTCTGAATATTTTCTCCTTACAGTGCAATAAAAGGACCAAGGATATATATATATATATATAGCTTATAATTTATAATGCCAGATTATAATTTAATAATACTATATATATATATATATACTGCTTGACTGAAATTTTTAATGTGCATTTTTTCTGTAATATATATATATATATATAGTTTTCCCATGTTTCAACTGTAAATATATTTTAATACTTTATATATATATATATATAAGGAAGGAAGGAGGAAAAGAAGGAAGAAAGGAAGGGAGAAAAGAGAAAAAGGAAAGAAGGAAGGAAGGGAGGGAGGGCGAGAGGGAGGGAGGAAGGAAGGAAAAGAGAGTCACATCTCTGCTCTAATCCATTCCCAGTATTTTTCACTCCTAGTATATATATATATATATAGTTCACCTGCTTTCAAATTTTTCCATAGTTTGTTCATTCCACAGGTATTTATGAAGTCATACCACTTACCAGGCAACAATCATTTTTCTAAGAACTGGAGATACAGCAATGAGGAAGACAGAGGCCCAACCTTGGTTGTAAGTTCCATGTACATATATATATATATATATACACCTTTTTTTTTTTTTTTGGCTTAACATTATATCTTAATATATATATATATATATAGCCCTGAAAGAATGTGGACAAAAAGAATAAAATAGGCTTTATATATATATATATATAGTAAGTTAATAAAACATTTGTTGATTCCACTGAAAGCATTATATATATATATATATAATTTTTACAAAAGTAAAGAAGAATACAACATTTGTGCAGTATATATATATATATATATTGAAGATGATAATAATCACTGTTTTTTGGCCAGGTGTGGGGGCTCAGGCTTGTAATCCCAGCACTTTGGGAGACCAAGACAGGAGGATTACCTGAGTCCAGGAGTTCGAGACCAACCTGGCCAAAATAGTGAAACCCTGTCTCTACAAAAAATATAAAAATTAGCCAGGAGTGGTGATGGGCACCTGTAGTCCCAGCTACTTGGGAGGCTATATATATATATATATATGAACCCGAGAGGCGGAGGTTGCAGTGGGCCGAGATCACTATATATATATATATATACTGTCTCAAAAAAAAAAAAAAAAAAAAAAAATCACGTTTTATATATATATATATATATGATAGGTACCATCTAGATGATATACGAATATGATCTCATATATATATATATATATAACAGCTCTATGAGGTTGGAAATGGTATTATCTTATCCCTTATATATATATATATATACTGAGTCTCCAAGCTTATAAACTGCAAAGTCAGAATTAGTATATATATATATATATATTTAAATGTTTCCCTTTACTCTGGGGATGGAGTGAGGAGTATATATATATATATATATCTTTCTTTTCGGAGAGTAGGGAGTGGGCAATCATTTTAACCAATTTGCCCAATTTCATCACTACATCCAGGTTTGAAAGGAGCTGAAAATGATATTATATATATATATATATAAAGAAAATAGAAATTATTCCCTTTTTTCTGTTTCCTCACTATATATATATATATATAATCCTTTTTGTTTGGAGAAACAAATGAGAAAATTGTCTGATCTTTTAGCAACAGCTTAAAACACAAATTTACCAAGATACAGTAACTAGACGGAATTATATATATATATATATAATGTCTAGTTTTATTGCCTACATGCGCCAGTGGTTTAACGGAGGTTAGGGTCACCTTAAGTCCTTCAGATATCTCCAAGGTAACAACAGCAACAAAAACAAAATTCTAACAAAAAGAATCCCTGGACAGTCACGCAGCTATTTACGGTTTTCATATATATATATATATATATCTCAAATAGCAACAATGGGTGAACACTTTCCATCAGAATATATATATATATATATATCAGTGTCGATCTTCTATTATAATATTACTTACATATATTATATATATATATATATAATAAACTCCTTATACTCATAGCATTTAAACAACTATAAATATATATATATATATATAATTAAATGCAAACAAAACTAAAAAATCAATACAACTCAAATCACTAACACTAGTTTAATATAATGGATGGTGTTGTTTTGCTAAAATGAAATCACTTATATATATATATATATAAGTATGTGCATTATTAAAACAATTCCTCTGAATTAACTTTGATGTTATCTGGCTTCGTTTGAAGGAAATACATTACTTATACCTTAGGTCTACTTCTATATATATATATATATACCAAAAGAATTAAAGTAGTAATCTTTGGTACTGTTATGATATATATATATATATATAATTTTAGTGCTGAAATTCCATGACAGTATTTGGTTATAATATATATATATATATATAACCATTCTGTGGGGCAACTTGAGGACCACAGTGTCAGAATATATATATATATATATAATAAGCTTTGAAATCTGACAGATCTGAGTTTGCCGCTTCCTGGTTGTGTGAGCTTGGACAAGTTATTTAACCTCTCTGTTCCTCAGCTTTCTTCCCTATATATATATATATATAAATAGTACCTTAATTTTGCCAGCAGAAACAGGCACCATGACCCACTTTTTAGACATGATGTTTAAGCCTGAAACTGCTGAGAAACTAGAAGTCACTCAGTGTGCCTTCAGAGCGCCTCTGTAACTCCAGAACTACATGAAGGTGGACAGGTTTTAAAAAGGTATTTCTCTGGACTCTCACCCTCCCCTTCCAATATTTACATTTGCTATCTATATATATATATATATAGTGGAACTGGAAAATGGGATTGAGCTTTAAACAGGAAACTATATATATATATATATAGTAAATAGACAATTGAGAATCAGTTGAACTCATGCCACAAGACAGCTGTTTCTATATGAAGCCCACCAATGAAAGCCTGCTTTTTTGCTTCCTGACCTGGCACAAATCCCTTGATTCCTGAGGCCCCCAAGGTTGAAAATAGCCCAGCCACCTTATATATATATATATATATTTAGGACCAACAGGATTGGAAACAGGGCTCTGTATGCCTATATATATATATATATAGCTGGGTAGGTATCTTACCTTCATTGGGTTGCTGGTTTCTGTGCTGCTGGATCAAATCCAGCAGCCAGTCACAGAAATGGAGAGAGAGCTGTGAGATATATATATATATATATAGAAAGGAGGTGGGGTTTGTCTGGAGAGGGGGTGAATACAGGGAGAATGGAGTGAGTAGAAGGTCATAACTAGTGGATGTTGGGTTAAAAGATATAGTATATATATATATATATATGGCTCACGCCTGTAATCCCAGCACTTTGGGAGGCAGACTATATATATATATATATAGTTAGGAGTTAGAGACCAGCCTGACCAACATAGTGAAACTATATATATATATATATAACAAAACAAGGCTGGGTGCGGTGGCTCACGCCTGTAATCCAGCACTTTGGGAGGCCGAGGCAGGTGGATCATTGAGGTCAAGAGATCGAGACCATCCTGGCCAACATGGTGAAACCCGTCTCCTACTAAAAATACAAAAAAAAAAAAAAAAAAAAAAAAAATTAGCGGCATGGTGGGCACTTTCTTAGTAGTCCCAGCTACTTGGGAGGCTGAGGCAGGAGAATCCCTTGAACCCGGGAGGCGGAGGTTGCAGTGAGCCGAGATCACGCCACTGCACTCCAGCCTGGTGACAGAGCCAGACTCTGTCTCACATAAATAAATAAATAAATAAAATACAAAAAATATCTGGAAATCGCTTGAACCCGGGAGGCAGAGGTTGCAGTAACCCGAGTTCGTGCCACTGCACTCCAGCCTGGGCAACAGAGCGAGACTCTGTCTCAAAAAAAATACAAAAGATATAAGAAAGTTCCATAAATGATTGGATCCCACAACAAGCAGAAATCACAGCGCTAGACCCTTTCCTTGTTTAGAAAAAAGTGTAGTTAAAATTTATCTCAATATCTTTCATCAGTCTCTTAAACAAACAGCTCAGAAATTGTCCCAATACCAGGTATTTGTCAAATTATAACAGATGAGACTGGGCACCAGTGGGTGCATGGTGGCTCACGCCTGGCTGAGGAGGGCAGATCACTTGAGCCAAGGAGTTTGAGGCCAGCCTAGGCAATGTGCCAAAACCCTGTCTCTACAGAAAATACAAAAATTAGCTGGGTATGGGTAGTCCCAGCTCCTCGGGAAGCTGCAGTGGGAGAATCACTTGAGCCCAAGAGATCGAGGCTGCAGTGAGCCGTGATGGCACCACTGCACTCCAGCCTGGGCGACAGAGCGAGATCTTGTCTCAAAAACAACAACAACAACAAAAAAAACACAAAAAAACCCCACAAATTATAGCAGATGAATCTGAAGCTTTTATTCTCTCCTTCCTTTTATCTGCATCCCACTCAAGAGAAAAATAAATTATTTTCCTTATGTCTCACTGCGGGTCTCACTCCTTCCTCTGAGTAATTTATCAGTCATTCTTCCAAATCAACACAACATTCTTTCTAAGCAATGCACACACAGAGAGGAGATGAATAGATGGGAGAGCAGAACACAAAGGCCTAACTAACCTCATTTGAGAGCCAATTAATCTGCTTGAGAAAATATTTTTTTTGAATTTCATTTGAGACCTGAAGGATAAATCGTGCAAAACTGTGGTGCTGGTGTGGTGGAGGCCTGGTGGGATGAGGGGGAGAGCACTCTGTGACAGACAGCACAGTATGCAAAGTTTCCGAGCGGGGAGAGCAAGTCATGTTTCAGGAGTTCGGAAAAGTCCTGTTTGGATAGAGTTGAGAGATCAAAGGGAAATGTTGCGGGGGATGTTGGGAGACGGCAGCAGGGGCCAGATCGAGGAGGGCCTCTGTGGTGTTATGATGTACATATATATTGGTTTTCGCCCGTGGTTCTTGGTTCATAACTCCTATAGCCCTTGTTACGCTCTTTTGTTATAATATTGGGTGTGCTAGGCCTCAGAAGCTGGCCTCAGGAAACAGAATCTGTTTCTGTTTCTCCCACCCTCCTTTCACCTGCTGCAAGGCAGAACTCGAATCTTTCCCCCACTTTTCTGATTTTGGGTCTTAAGACCCTCTCCTGACAGAGTCTTGCCACATACCTTAGGGGAAGTAATGCTGATGTAATGACACGTCCATCAAAACCCAAGAAGACTGGGTATGGAGAGCTTCCTGGTAGCTGAACACATAAAGGTTCCTAGAGGGTGGTGCATCCAGGGAGATCATAGAAGCTCCATACCCCTTGCCCCATACCTTGCCCTATGCATCTCTTCACCTGTATCTTTTGCAATACGCTTCATAATAAATCAGTTAACATGTTTCCTCAGTTCTCTGAGCTGCTTCAGCAAATTAATGGAAACCAAAGAGGCGATTGTGGGAATCCCAACTTAAGCCAGTCAGTCAGAAGTTCTGGAGGCTTGGACTTGCACCTATTGTCTATGGAGGGGCAGCCTTGGAGACCGAGCCCTCCCTCTGTGGGATCTGACAGTATCTCCAGGTAGAGAGTGTCGGAATTGAATCGGAGGACTTGGTGTGTGGGGAAAATCCCCCCCGTATATTTGGTCATA